CTAACAGTCCCCATTAACAACTACTCACCCTCCCAGCCTGATCGTTAAACTCCTTTGTCTGTCCAACTGTCTTTCTCTCTCTTTGGGCTCTATCCTATCGTTTACTCCCTACCCCACCCACATCCCTATTTTCTGCATATAAACTGACGTTTTCCCAGCCACCATCAGTTCTGAGGAAGGGTCACCGGACCCGAAACGTTCACTCTGTTTTCTCCTCCACAGATGCTGCCAGACCTGCTGAGCTTTTCCAGCAACTTCCGTTTTTGTCCCTGATTTGCAGCATCTGCAGTTCTTTTGGTTTTTATTCAATCTGTTTTCTATCTTTGACTTTGTTCGTTACTCTCTGCAGTTGTAAAGGCTGCATTAGGAAAGTGGTCCCGAAAAGCGGACGCATTAAAAAAAAAATAACTGAAAATGAAACTTGTGCAGAGAAATTTCGTGCAAAAAAAAGTGACAGAGAACAGCCGTTGAGTTTTGCCGGGAGTTGGTATCTGAGCTAAATTCTTGGCAGTTTGTGCTATTTGAGCTCTAGCCCAGTGAGTTTATCTCTGCCTCCCTCCGGCTGCAAGTTTCACTTTCTGTTGATGTGTGTTTCCTGGAAGCTAGTCCAGTTCTCGGAACTCTAGATGGGCTGGCACTGAAACAGTGAGCAGTCTTCCCGGTTAAATACAGCGACCGGGTGATCACTGCAGACACTGAGATCTCTCTCTCCGACTTCAGAGGCTGCAGGAACAACAGATTCCACCCTCGATCCTCTCCTGAGCAGCGAGAAAGTTCGACTTGTTTCAGAGGTGGGTCGCTTCACTCTGAGTCTGAATTTAAATTGAAACTCTCCCCTTATGTGTGACTGCGTCTCGCTCACTTTACAAGGGGCTCTCTCTGTCTCTCTCTGTCTGTCACTCAGGGTAAGGCCCAGTGAGGAAGGACCGCACTTGTCCCTGAAGGGGATGAAACCGAAGGGTCTTTAATAAAAGCAGCCATTTAATCCCGAATGCTCTCTCTGTCTCTCTCCATCATTTCTCTCCACTTCCCGTTCATAGATCCGAGTAAAGTTCTCCAATCTGGAACTGTTCCTCTCTTCAACACGAGAGAGACATCATCTCAAATTAAATCTACTTTGTGTCTGCACAGATACTGCTGGAGTTTCTCCAACAATTTCTGCTCAATCTAAGGTTATATGTTATATTTGTTTGTCTTAAGCTTTATACACAAATTTCAGGCGAGCTGTAAAGTTGAGTTAATATCTCCCACCC